GTGTTGTGTGTTGTGTTGTGTGTGTGTGTTGTGTGTGTGTTGTTTGCTTGTTTTACGTTGTTGGGTTTGTGTTTTCAGCTTCGAAGCGCTGCGGCGGTCTGGGCTGCCGCACCCTCCGTTCAAGTCTGGATGGTGCTGCTTGCAGAGCCGGGCATAGGCCTCAGACGCATGGACCACCACAGCGTGAACAGCGCGAGGCGTGAAAGCTCTTCGAAGGAGCTGGGAGAAAATACATCAGTAGGCTGCAGAAACGGAGAGAGGCTGACGACCAGGTCATCCCTGCACCGCGCATGTTCGCACTGCCAGAGGCCCAGAGGCGTTGCGACGTGCCAAGACCGCGCATTGCCATTGATGTACTACGGGACGCATGCAGAAAATGCAGAAATCACAGGGAGAAGAGATCAGAGAAGCTCCAAAGGGCAAATAAAAAGACGAGCCGACTAGCCCTTAGGGCCTTTGGGGGAAGCGGTGACAACCGGAGCTCTGGGTGCTCAGCTTGGCGGATGCTCCGGCGCCTGCAACAAGACGGGATGCCGAAACAGCCCCCGGAAACAAACTTGAAGCAAGCTAAGCAAACACACGCACACGCACACACACACACACACTTTTTTACTTCACACAGTTCCCTACTTTGCTGCGGGCCCTGAAATGCTGTGACAAAACCTTGCTTGGGAGATCTGCGTATTTCGATAAAGCTCGCACTCGTAAAACACACCCGACGACTGCGAAACGCGCGCGCGCGCGCATAGTGCCGCAACAGGCGACGGCGCCCCCGCAACTGGCGGGCCCAGGGCACTTTTTGCGACGGTCTCAGCTTGAGTCACTTGAGATTCTGTGTGGGGTCAGCAACCCGGCTTAAAGGACCCATTTAAAGAACTGCACCCCAGCTTCCGGAAATCGGCCGCCCGCTGCAAATCGGACGCAACCTTTTCCACTCAGTCCTGCGGTGCTTAAGACTTCACAACATCGTTTGCTCAGAGGTGTCACGTCGCTCGGCAGAGGCTCTGTTAATCTGCTAGCCGTTGCGCAGAAGCCCGGTTTCCTTCCTTGAGGGCGGGGGACATGAGATGGGTCGGCAGAAAGAAGACGAGGAAGAAGCAGAACTCGAAACAGAACGCGAGTTCGTCTGCAGAAGCTCCTGCAAAGGCCAGGGGAGGAGAAGCCCCGCGGAACTCGCTTCGAAGCACAGAGAAGCCCAGCGGCCCAGCCCCGGCAAAGGGGCGCTTCTCAGGCTTCCGGAAACCGACACGGAAACGCACCACCGACAACCGAAGAACAGCAGACGTCACTTGCAAGGTACCTGAAGAAGGCGCACTTGGAATCAACGCGATGATGGTCAGAAGCAGAGGTGCGACTGGAGGACCCAGCGAAGTCTGGATTAGATCGCGAATCCTATCATTGAAGCTGCCACATGCTAGTAGGCAGCCCCTGCTTGCGACTGCCCGCCGCAGCACAGTCGCAGCCTTGTCTTGAAAAATCGCACACATGGCCGCAAAGACAAATCTGGGCTCACAAAGAGGCTCATGTTCGCGAAGAGGGCAGTCGTAGAGAATCACCGTGCTGAAAGTTGGTAGCAGATAAGTCGAAAAACTTGATTATCTTTTCATTCAAAATGGAGAGTCCTCGGACAGGGAACAAGTGTCACAACCCTCGACTTAGGAAGATATTACATCTGAAGCCACGAACTGAATCGCATTCACCAAAACAGACCGGGAGAGGTCGGCATTGTCCCCCTGACGCAGACAGGAGCGAGTGATGCGCAGTGGGTGGACAGAGACCCTCTGAACTCTAAAGACAGTGCTCGAAAAGTTTGCTGAAAGCTTCCCCGTCCCGGAGAGGAAGGGGATGTTCAGCACTTGGTACGGGTCCTCAGTAATTCCACACCCAGACTCCAGTTCTCGTCATGCTCGCGCGTTGCTCTGAGGCCAGGGCGAGGCGCGCGGCATCGTCCTCAGCCGAGCGCTGCATCGATGGTGGTGCTGCTCCAATCAAGGGGCCCGGCGAGGAAGTCCAAGGGCGTCCGGATTCTCACATGCCTCGAAAAGCATAAGAAACAAGCGCAGTTCTCTCTCTCTGCTCCGGTCTGCCTCTCTCTCTCTCCCTCGCTTGACGCGAGCCGCTCAGCTTCGCTCACATGTTGGCATTGCCCGCAGACGACGTGGCTGCTGGGAAAAGCGGGCCGCTTAAGGACTCATCGACTCCCAGCACGTGATGTATCATTAACCACTTTCCCGATTGCACAGCATGGTTATTGAGCTTTAGATATCTTTAGATGTCCTCAGAGTGGTTCGCAGCATACGCAACAATCCAATGATAGAATTGGCAATGATAATGGAGACATGGGGCTTGGGAGCTTACACGTGCTGCGATACTCCCGCCCTCTCGCTCTGATGCGCCGTCGCCTCAAGATCACCAAGGGGAAAGCCGACCTGGCAGGGGACCCCGTGGAAGGCTGTGCCAAAAACCTTCGGCCAAGAGGCCACCCGGCCGCAATCCGGCCTTCCGGGCGCTTCCCGAGGACTTTGCCGCCGCCGGCTCCGCTTTCGCAGCAGGCTCCAGAAAGAGGCCTCGCGGTTCCCCGCCGCACAGCGAAAATTCGGTTTCGAGCCCGTCTCTGAGCTCCCTGCTTTCGATCTCGAAGCTCGCAACTCAAGCATCGAAGTCATCGGCCTCCGCAAGAACGACATGTCTCCTGGCTCCCCTGCTACGCTTTGAGACCCTCCGTTCCGACCCAACACCCGCCGCCTGACGCAGTAGACCTGCAAACACACCAAAAGCGCCGCAAAGCCAACAACACTGACCCTTACGCACACACACACACACACAGAAACACACAGACACACAGTCGAACACCAGGCTTGCATGGAGCTTCGATCTCATGTGGAAGTCTTCACTCAAAGCTCATTCGAAGCAATGTACAGAGACGACGTTGTATGATGTAACAATGCACGGCTTGCACGTTAAAGTAATTATGTCACAAGCTGCAAATACGTCGACTTGGCGTCCCAAATCCATATCACAGGAAAGCACAAGGAAGGGTCTAACGATCGTTGGTGCCTATTGCAATCCCCTGGTACCCCCTGCTTCAGAATTTGAGGAATGCGAAGAGACAAGTAGCTTAACCGGTGGAATGTTGAGGCCTCACACACATACACCTGCATCGGAGGCATACGCTCTCATCACGAAGACGGGCAAGTGGTTGTCACTGATTTTTTCAACGTGCTGTGCGGAAGTCTCGAATACACTTATATGAGTTGAGGGCTCCGCAGTCATATGTACTTTCACGACGAGGATGTAGTCTCGTCGTCGTTGGTAAGTTAGGTTGCCCGTCTGAAGACATCCCCAACTGCTAGAGCAAGAGTTTCCTGCTGCGAAGATGGCACAAAGGTCCGCAACTGAAGATCATGTCGCAGCTGAAGATCATGTCGAGGCAGAAGTTCTTGGACTTGCAGCATAATGGATGTGCAGCTGGCAGCATGGGGCGGTGTCTTCAACAGTAGCCGGTGGTGCCATTGACGTAATGGAGTGCTCGTGTGCATCTCATGTAGTAGACGTTCGCGTGGTTTGCATCAAACTCTGGACGCTGTCTGGGTGGATGGGTCTTTCCAGAATTGCATGGTGTGGCCTGTGATCGCTGTTGATGATGGTGCGGAAGCCTGCGCTATGTTGGGTGGAACCGCCGAGGTGGCCAATGACGACGCAGTGGACACGGAAGGCTCACCTCAGGCGAAAGATCCATGCCCCATCTTTCTCCTCGAAAAAATGATGAAGGTGAACTCCTCAGCCAGGCTTGGCATTTTTAAAGCGGCCACGAGCGACGAGGCCAACAACGAGAATTGCGTCGACAATCTCGAGGATGCCAAGGAAAAATGCTTCTTGGAGGACACAGGTGAATTTGATTCTCGAAAAATCCAGTCCGCTTGTCAAGCCTCGAAACAGATCAGCGGCTAGGCTGATCTGAATCAATCTTGTTGGGTCCTTCAAAGTGCTACACGTGGGTTGGCGTGTTTCACCTGCGCAGCATAAGAAATTCGTCCTCATTCACAGAAAAACCCCAGGCAATTACGAGCCTGTGGAACGGAGAAGCTGTACTATACTGCCGCCGGGGTCAGGGCCTGCAGGCAGAAACCAAAAGGCAGGCGCCGGCAACAGTGACTGTACTGGCCTGCGGTGTCGAAAATACGCAAGGGAGCAGCAGACGCTGAAACCCGGCTGTGCGCAGGTTTGGACTACGGGTAGGCCCGCGCTGCCCAGTCCTTTCCGAGATGGACGTGATGTTGCAGATGTGCAACATGGAGCCGATCTACACTAGAAGGCCCAGAGCTTCTACCTTATGCCACCGAGCACACCTCTCCCTGCACTATCTCCCGATGAACTCTTCAAGTCCGCTCTGTGGCAAGTTGCAAACACGTGCTCTGATGTACTGCACTTCCTGCAACGCCACATATCTATGTATGCATTGCTACCCGATCTGCTAAACTCCTTACCCTTCACGACACGGAAGGACCAAATCGGGAACTAGTCTCCTGGTAACTGCAATCGGGAGAGTATCACGAACCTCAAAATATGCTCTTGTATCCAATCTACGAGATTCACCAAAATCTTGGATGGACACTTCGCCTTCCTGCCATACGCCTGCTGCCGCAATCCTTCTGAGATGCGAAGCCATAACCACGAGCTCTGCCCGAATCCCTATCTGACTTCACCCCAACATGGCTGAGCTGTCATTGTGGAGGTGCTCGATCTCGCCTTCGCTGGACTCGCCGGTGTGGCTGAACATTTCTAGCTTCTGGCTCACTCTCTACCCACCTCGGCTCTGGCAAACTGCTCCACAGGGCGGCATTCTGCAGTCACAATGCACCCGATCAGCTACCAGCTCCGAACAGACGGCAGGATTACGAAGTCGCACTGCCATAGGTAGCACACTTTTGATTCGAGCCCCAGGTGCCTACGGTATTTAGGGTCGATTGAACTTCATAACATCGTGGTGCCTTTACCGCAACTATACACAGGCACATGACATCAACCTCCGAAGCATGGTGAATTCAACTTGGTAGCCTTTAAACGGACCGAAAGTCAGGTATGTTTCACAGCCCTAAGACCTGTGTCACCCCAAGGCTTGAGCATCACAGCCAATTTTCCGATGCGCTGGTTGCGCTTTCCGTCTGTGCGAAGTATTTGGAGGTGACACAACTTTTTTGGGGAAGCTCAGGAGACTGCTCACATTCACAAAGGATGTCAAAAAAGAGATTGATTGAAGCCGCCGTGGCGCGGCAGATGGCGGAGAGGCCAAATTTCTCGCCATAACGATGTCCGCTGAGGCGTTGTCTTGGGCACCACGGCTGCTGCGATGTGCCTGCCTGATAACCTGCCACCTACGCGTGCGGAGCTCGTCATCTACCAAATTGGGCACATTCACTTGGTCAATCATCACCAGGGCCCCCATGACCCTCGTGATTACCTCCATCTCGTAGACTGAGCGATCACCGCGAGGCAAGTCATTGCTGCGAACCCAGTGAGACCATGTCCCTAAGAACCCCCAGACATGAAGGAGGCCCATCAAGTTGTAGTCCTCCACCGGGCATTGGATCCTGAGTCATACGGGAACGCGGAACCAAATATCTCATTCTGCAATATCTGATGGTGACGCGTCCTGCCCACCCAGGACTCCTTTCTTGCCCCCTCTTTACCATCTTCATGGGGAAAACTGGTAAGACGCCACCAGACGACAAGACTGAGCCCAGCGAGAAGTACACGACGGAGTAAGATGATGAAGCTTTGAATGCCCCAAGCAAAAAATCTGGCTTGCGCCCCTAATTGTACCAGAGACGCAGCAAAGGAAGATCCATGAATCCTCAAATTTCTCGCAATCATGGGGGCGTCTGCTTTGCACAAGCTCCACTCCGCAAGCTCCGTAACTTCATTGCCCTTGATCGCGCAAGCATGCATGATCCCGATCAAGCCCAAAGCGGGCACATGTCACGCTATTGCAATGATCAGATGAATGACACTCGTTGACCGTTGACCCACAGAGTCCAGTCCCACTCATCCGCGATCGCGGGCTCAGGCCAATGTCCCTGTCATCTGGCCCCATTTCGGGTAAACCGAAACAGTACACACTTTGGCTAGGCACCGGTGATTGCGAAGAAGATGAGCAGGACCGACGACGGATTGCGGCAACCATGCAAGACAAGAGACTGCTCCTCCGCACTTCTATGACCCTTTTGTTTAGGCCGTGGATGATAGAAGGCTCACTGCCCCTTCCAAAAATGATAAACTGCTATCTATCATTTCACACGTGCGCGCACCCCACACACCCACCCTCACGCGCACTCACACTCACTCACTCTCACACACACAGTCACACACACACACACACTCACTCACTCACTCACTCACTCACTCACTCACTCACTCACACGGCACACATCACTGCACGCTAGCTGCAATGTCTGCAAGAGTTGCACGTTACTGCACTCTTCAGGTTGCTCGAGATTGCAAAACAAAGCCAAAGGAAGGAATCGCTGGAAAGACGCACATGACTGGGCGCGGTGGAGGCACCTTGAGGTCGTGCGTCTGTGTCCTGCAGGCATGGAGAGAAGGCCAGAAAGAGGAAAAAACGAAAGTCTGCCGGTGGACCTTCGAGGCATTCGCCATTCAGGCAGTGGTTGCACGCCATGCAGGCCATGCATGCTAGAGGCATGATATCCTCATGCTATCCCTTCGCCCATCTCTACTCTCTAGCCTGCGAACATGCACCAAAGGAGCAAGCTCGAAGCTGTTGACTCGCTTACGATGCAGCGCTCCCCTAATATCTCGCCTTTTCTCCGCTCGACCAGACAGATCCGACTAGCTGTCCAAGGTGGGCTCAGCCGCAGCTTCTTCCTCCGCAGCCTCGGCAGCCTCCTCGGCAACCTCCTCGGCAGCCTCCTCGGCAGCCTCCTCGGCAACCTCCTCGGCAACCTCCTCGTCACCAGCTTCGACTACGGCTTCGGCGCCCTCCTCATTGGCGTTCTTGGTGGCCGTATCGGCGTCTTCCGTGGCATCCAGCGTCAAGACCTCTCCTAGGTTCACCGTCTCAAGTCGCTTTGGAAGCCTCAAGTCTCTCAGCCAGGCCTTCCTCTTGCACGTCGCCTACGTCGCCTTCCTCGCCCGTTGCTTGCACCTTCCAGGCAGCGGAGCACCGAGCGGAGCGCCGCGGAGCGGAGCGGAGCAGAAGTTCTCCCAGGCCGCGGACGGAGGCTTTGGCGGGCTTTGGAATCTCCGGGTTCAATTCCTGTGGCGCAAGCATCCCTTCAAGGCCTGGGCACCGGCTTCGGCGGCTTCGGCGGCTTCGGCGCCTGGATCAAGAAAGGCGTCCCCTGGTTCCCAGCGATGGTGGCCCAGCCGGTGGCGCAGTCCTGAAGCTGAAGCCCAAACCAAAACGAAGCAATGGAGCAACGCTTCGCCACTTCGTGGCCTGGAGGGCGAGGCATCGGACGCGCTGCACATTGGCGCCGTCCTCCTTCGAAGGCCCTGAAAGCTCTCAAAGTCAAGCAGTTTGCGGATACGCGCAGGCAGCCACACCTTCCAGTACTTCCAAGACCTCGCCCACCTCTAAGCCTCGGCAGAGGAGGGAGGCGCTCCCTCTTACAGACAATTCAGTCTCTAAGATCCTCACGGCGAACGGTTTTGGACTTGATCGAGATGTCTTCGGAAAGCACGGTGCCCTTGCGGCCGGGGCTGAAATCTCTGCTGAAGTGCACAGCTTTCCTCGTCCTCATGGCGTTGATACTCGGAAAAGCGGGGGAGCAAGCATTTGCTGTCGCCCAGGATCGAAAGATCTCAAGCGAAGGCTTCCCTTAAGTTCATTTGCACCTACCGCTGTTGTGTCAGTCACGGCACGCCATGCCTAACATGCACAGCCAAGTAGTTCTGTCATTGTGGCGTGATGCGTGCAGCACAACATACGCAGCCGCACAACTAGGTGGTCTCACCCCTTGCCGCAGCTTCGGCTTTGGAAGGAACCTACCCAGTCGACAAGGGCTCATCATTGTTCATACCTTCCATTGCGGTACGGAGTTCAAACACTTTGCGCGCAAGCCACAAAGGTCAGGAAAGTCTCGTCACATTTTCCTCGGAAACTCATGCAAATTGCAGATGTCCCTGCCTTGACACATTTGAAGTACAATCGGATAAGATCCAAGAATGTGGCCTCGTTCGAAGACGAATTGCCATGCAGTGTATGCGCAACTCAGCCCCGGCCTTGTCCAACTCTTTAGCACCTCAACAGGGGAAAGGAGGTGTCGGGCCTCGGGCGGTGGCTACCGGTCTCCTACATGTCATCGCCATGGGCCCATACTGGCGGCCCCCAACCCCCAAGCCCAGCTTCTAAAGTAAGCTGATCGGTTGCTTCAGAGTCAGCGAGACAAACACCTAGGCATTTCGGTTGGAGCTCTTGCTCAGTAAGAGCAGAAGCCCGCTGCTGACTTTGCACAAGCAGGTGTTTGTGCGCCGGCCGGTGCTCCTTCAGACGGCCTCGGCCCCACCTTCCAGTGTTTGAGTCGCGTCGGTGCTCGCAGTGCTCGAGTCGGGGCGAGTGCTCGCATTGACCAGTTCATTCCACATCACTACGAGCCAACTGAGTATGGCATTCCGCCTGGGCTCATGCAGGTATAGCAAATCTGCTGACGTCGAAAGCAAGCGTTCCTCCGTTGCACCCTACGAGGCCTTCTAAGGCATCTCGCTACGCCGCTACGCTACGAGGGCTACGAGGCGCCTGCAACCGAGACAAAGAGCCGCTCGAGCGGCGCGGCCGGGGCGAGGTCCTCAATGATCGGCCGCCGCTCTGCAAAACTGCGCTGCTCTACTGCGCCGGCGCCCCCGCCGCTGCGCTCCTTCAGGAGCTCCTGGAAGCTCTCCAGCTCCATCAGACCTCCCGCTCCGGCGGAAGCCTCAAAAAGGGCCTCCCCGGACTGGCCCTGAAACAGGGAGAAGGGCATCCAAGAACAGAAGAAGAGAGAGCGACCCGGCAGGCGCCTCCGCGCTCATCCGAGCCCGCAGCGCTGCCACCGCCCGCGCCCGAAGCTCCAAGGTCTCTGCCTGGGCCTGAAAAAACGCCCCAGAATAGAAGGAAAGGCGTTCTGTCAAAAGGGCCCTGCCTTCTTGGCCACCGCCTCCTTGGAGGCCCGCGCGTGGCCCAGGACCTTCTCCAGCTGCACCTCCGGCTCCGCGGCTCCGCTCCGCAAAAAAAACCGGCGCACCGGGCCTCCAGGATCCGGTGCTGCTCCTGCAAGCGGAAGACCTGTGCGAAACAAAGGAGGAAAGCTCCAACTATAGAAAGCTGCGTAACGGCAGGCGGCCGCGCTCGTCGGGCCTCCTTCTTGAGCTTCGGCTCCCGCTCGAAGGGCGGGAAGCCCTGCGTGGCCTCTTTTTGAAAAAGAGGAGGCAGCGAGGAGGCAGCGCGAGGCAGCGCCGCCTCTTCCAGCTGCCGCGAGATGGCGTCCAGCATCTCTCGCACCTCAGCTCTGCTGCAGAGCCAGGGCCCGCTGGGCCCCCCCCCTCCCCCCCTCCAAGCCAAAAAAAGTGTGCTGCGCTCCGGAGCCCGGGGCGCCTCTCGGCCCTGGCTCTCGGCCTTCTCCGTGCCTGCCCTCACGTCCTCCGAGGAGGCGGAGGCCTCCCCAAAGGCAAGGGAAAAGACGCCGCACCGCGCTGCACCTGCACCGCTCTGCACCGCGCAGCCTCCAGGGACTTGAGCTCCTCGGAAACCTGCACCAAAAAAAAAGGTTGAGAGAAGCGGGCTGTGCCAAGCTCTGCCAAGGCGGGCTCCGACTCACCTGCTGGAGCTTCAGCTTTCCATCCTCGAACTGGGCAGTGATGACTTCCACCATTTCTTGGACCTTCGCGACGACAGTGACTGCGACAGCGACTGCGACAGCCACACAAGTGCTGGCGCCTTGAGCCGTTGGGCTTCGGCCTCTCGTTGCTGCTCCTCTTCTGCAGCCCGCCTTCGTGAAAGCCACTTCCGGAGACCCTGTTCTCTAGTGCGGAACGACACGACGTGTCGACGAGGTCCCACTGCGAACCACGGGCTTCCTGTGTCCTTGTCCCCGAACTCAGCTGGAGCTCTGCTGAAGCGCTTTGACCTGTTACCTCCGCCTGAGCCTCGCTCACCCCTGCTGCCATGAACGCGTTGCTGAAGCTGCGACGATGACGACGAGAACGACGAGAACGACAACCCGGACGTCTTCTGGCAAGGTCGAACAGTCGGCACTCCCAGTTCCTGAAAACCCTCAAGTTGCCGGTGGACGCGCCTGGTGCGAGCCTCGGCCTCGAACTTGGCGATGCCCACCTCATCCAAAGGGGAAAGGAGAGAGAGCGGACGGAAGGAAAGTCGGCTCCCCTCCGCGCTCCTTCTGCCGCAAGCGCAGGAACTTCTCGAAGGTGACCGGCTCCAGCCTCGGAGGCGAAAGGCTCTGCGCGTCGAGAGGCGCGCCAGAGAGAGGCGCGTGAGGCTCCGTGAGGCGCGTGCACTCGCATGATGCGGCTCAGCACCTCGCCAGACCTTACGACGAACGCCGGAGAAACGATTTCAGAAGGGCACACAGGCACAAAGGCACAGTCGAGATCATGACAGCTCCACCCCATTCTCTCTTGCGTAAGCTTCCACCTGCGAGCTGCTGTGATTTGGGATGGGATCTGCGGAGTTCTTCTCTCTGCTCCTCGGCGCTACTCAGCTGCCCGTCATCGTCCACGTCATGCCTGCCAGGGCCAGGCGAATTTGACTCACAGAAATATTCGGGGCACAGGACCTCTTGAAGGCAGCCATCCAGTCCTGCAGCGTCAAAACCGACAACACGGAACATCGTGGAATCCAAAACTTAGTTGAGTTTCCGATTCATCCCGCCTGCACACAAGGCGAGGACATCAATGCTTTCGAAATAGATTCGATGCTTTACTGATATTGGTACCGAACATGTCGGAGGTTTTGGGAAATGGACCGAGTGCCGCAAGGCTCGCAACTTTTGGCAACGATCACCGGTGACTTTAATGGCCCGATCTGTCAATGCTTAAAAATGTATATGTGGCTGCTCCCACTGGACAGTCGTTGGCGTTAGCCTTCACAGGTGCCCGCTCAAGCCGACGGGCATTCCCTCGTCGGTTGTGCTACGTCCGCTGTGCCGCGATGAGACCGTTGGAAAGGTTAATGTTTGCGCACTCCCTCGATCATCGGCGGGGCGCTGCAAACTTCTGAAACTTCTGGAATCCCAACCGCTCGGCGAAAGGGCGGATGCCATTCCGATCACAGTGTATACGCGGGTAGCAAGTGCTCGTTCGAGGGCGCCGAACAACCTGCGATGGGAGGAAACTGCCTGTTTGCGTGCTTCGATTCGACGACTGATGAGGGTCGATAGCATCATGTCAAGACCAGCGACACTCGTTGGACAAGATCACAACCTCTAATTTTCTGGTCGCTCTTTGCTCGAGATCTCTCGACTCGAGGCATCGACTTGGCATGTACATCCATAGCCACATAGAATGTCGAACACTGCCATTTGGGGGTTTAGGGGCCCCTCGCTCGCTGCTGCCGGTGCTGTTTGGTGCTGTGTGCTGTCTCGAGGTGCTCGGACCGGAAGAGCTTCAGAACCTGCGAAGCGGGCTCTCTTGCCCGATCAAATCCCAACCGACGGGTCACCTGACCGTCGCAGTTCTTGCGTGCTGCAGGCAGCGACGCAGTTCGAGAAGACGAGAACGTGGCAGAAGGCCTCCGGCCTTCTGCTGCCAAGACGAAGCCGTCGGGCGCTCTAGGCATGCAACCCCTTGCTGCTGTGGCTGCGACCTGGCCGTCGTGCTCGTGGCTCGGAGCCGGGGCCCTGCTGGATGCCGCTGCTGACTATGCCGGTTTAAGGCCGGCTTAAGGCTGAGCGGCGCTGGTTGGGCCCTTCTCTTTCACAGAAAGTCAACTCGATCCTCCATCGAGTGCCCCTCCCATCAAGCAAAGCGATGGGCAGAGTCAGATCATATCAGTCAAGGGGATATGCTGGCAATGCTGACTGGACCAAGCCGGTGAGTTGAACATCGGCACAGGGAGCGTACCAGTGCCATTGAACCGGAACTTTTATTGACCTTCTAATCAGGACTTGAATGCTCAAGATCCCTTCGAAACAGCTGAGGAAGCGTGCCATGCGTATACATCATGCTACCAGGAATTCTGCCCTCAGCGAGATGCGCCAGGCGATGCGGCTCAAAGCTCGAGATGGACCCCGTTTGGAATGTCTCTTGACGATGTCGCTTCGTGATGCTCTGCGCTTACGACGGGTTTACTTTTCCGGCTCTCCGGCTCCCTCCGGCTCCTGGTCTTGCTTCAAAGCGGCCGCTCGTCGCAAGCCACGTCCTGTTTTCACAGAGAAGGCGGGGAGGGGGTGAAGTACCGAATTGTTACACATTCCGGGCATTGCAGATTGCACATATCACTTGCATGGCTCCATGTCCGTGCCCAAGGTTCTAGCATAGCAGAGTATCTGGACTACAGCCGACAGCCTGTAGAAAAGAGACACTTGCGTGCTTGTGTGCCTGTACGCTTTGCGAGGGTATACACGCCCAAGTTACATCTCGGGGGCAATGGGAAAACGGTCGCAAGAGCAATCCGCCTCGGGTCTCCTCCAGGGTCTCAGTGCACCTGCGACGTTAGCAGTGCATGCGACACAAAACCAACAGGAAGGAAAGTGTGGGCATTGGGAAGGAGTCGACACTGCCACGATTTTTGCTAATTCCAATCCTCTCTGACTCTGCAGTTGTGTCGCGAGGAAAGCCTTGCGTGCTGTGGAGCCTTCCTCTTTTCGCTGCAGCCAATAATGAGCAACCGCGTTTAGGAATGCTTTGGGCTTCAGAGGTGTACAAGAGGCAAGCGAACACAACGAGCAGTGAGGTTTACAGTTTCACTCCTCGCGCGGTTCGGCGAGCGCAGCGCCCGCCTCTGCAAGCTCCGGTGGGACTGCTGCAGCCGGCCCGTCAAATCGTCCACCTGCAAAAGAGAAGAAGAATATGCGACGGAGGCAAAAAGGACGAGAAGAAAGAAGACAAGAAGGAAGGGAAGAAAGAGAAGAAAGACACACCGGCCTCGCGCTTCACGTGCCGGGCACCCTCGCCCGCGCCCATGGCCTCCTTCTTCACCGACAAGAGGCGCTCGGACCTGGGACGAAGCCGGCAGTTTGGAGCTAGCTCCGCTAGCTCCGCTAGCTCCGCCTGTCCAGGAGACCCTTCGCGTCCTCCAAGATCTTTCCCGCCTCCTGCACGGCCTCCGCGCTCGCGCTCGCGCGCCGCGCATCTTCCGGGCGCTTCGCGGAGGCACAGATCGGCCTGCAGGATGTCTTCGGGAGCCGCCTCGGCATCGATGCCCCGCTGGCACGCCAGGGTGGTGGCTTCCTGCGCCTGCGTCACCCGGGCCTCGGCGCGCTTAAAAAGCCGACGCGGACACACAATCCCTCTTGCCGGCAGCGCCTCGGTGCTCTGGACCTCCGCTGCCGCCTCTTTCAGGAGCTGCTCCACGCGCGCCTCTCCGAAGCCGTGGACACGTTGAGCATGCATTGAATGCACAGCTGTTTCCCGCGCCAGCTCCATCTGCCGCCGCCGCTCTGCTTCCTTGCACTTTGACTCGAACATTAAACGAAGACGACCTGACACCTGACGACCATGACGGCCCATACATACTGCTTGCCCCAGGCACTGGAGCATTCAGGATCAGAGTCCAAATGCATTTCCTCCAAGCCCTTTCCCCCCACGACCCTTGACTCTCCCAAGTAGTGCTGTTGGGATTCGATCTTTTCTGGGCCAGAACAAGTCATATGTGGAATGTACAGTGAATCCAGATCTCCCAGGAGGGACGGTAACACACCGAATCCTCTGTCGACAACAGGCCGCGAGCCACAACTGACGTCAAAGAGAAATTGCAGTTAGCTTGAAAGCTGAAAAGCCCGTCTTTGTTGGGATCTTGGGGGCGTCCTCCCGTTGCTTCAACTCCTCGGCGATGCGCTTCTGAACCTTTCAGAAGCAGTGAGGAAGCACTGATTCTGCCACACCCTTGTGCCTGGCACCTGCGTGATGGTGTGCTGCATCTCGTCGTTAACGCGGTCCCGCAGTGCTCCCATGGCCTATGAGACGCGACATGCTAAGGGTTCACACAATGTCTGCCACATGCAGGAAATACGAATTGGACAAGGGCTTACTTAGTCCACGTCGCTGTACGCTACGGGTGCTGCTATTGACTGCCACTGCAGTGTGCCTGGAAGTTCGAGGCAGCTGCTTTGTCCAGATCGGCCTGGCACACGGCATTTCTGGCTTCAGCTTGCCTCGGAGACTGCGTTCCGCCTGGAGACTCTTCAAATTGTCGGGTGTTGCATTGCCTTGGTGCTCGTGACTGCTCGTGCAAGCCACGCGGATGCCCTGGGCCCCGTTGAAGGCTCGGGCGCAGCTTCTTGAGCACCTCACGCACGTTGTTCGCGGCCTCCTGTACCGGCGGTCACGTTTGCACCACATGGCCAGGCAGGGGAGGGAGGTGTGTGTGTGTGTGTGTGTGTGTTTGGTGTCCTCCTGCTTTCTCTCCTCCTCCTGGCGCCGCCTTCGGGCCTCTGCCTCCCTGCGGGCCTTAGCTCATGCCAAGAAGCCATGTCATGACAACAGTGCGCAAAAACGACGCAGCTGTAGCAGCAGCAGCAGCAGCAGCAGCAGCAGGAGTAGCAGTGGGAGTGGGAGTAGGGGTAGCTAGGAGTAGGAGTAGGAGGAGGAGTAGAAGTGGTGGTAGTCGTAGGAGAAGCAGGAGTATCGGCAGCAAACAGCTTGCGTTTGCGAGCAAGAAGGAGAGCACGCCGTAAGATAAACACCCAACTACCGCACCCTAGCTGTGCCGGCAAGTTGGTGTGTTGAGCTTTTGGTTCCCGGGTCTCCGAACCCGTGCGCTGCACGCTTCGCTCTGCTGCAGCAAAAGGCTGCGCTTAACTAACACCGGGTGGCGTGAGCTAGGCCTACTTAGCTCCTCGGGCTTCCCCAAGGTTTAACCTTTTCCACTTGTGGTCTGGGAAGCAGTCGAGGATGCTGACTCGCTGCGAAGGTGCGGAATGCAGTTACTTGGAAGATGGGGCTGCGCGCCGCAGTAGTGGAGGAGGATAAGGAACGGATCGCTCTGGAAGCCAGGCGATACCTGAGGTTGATCAGTAACAAGCGTTACGGTACTTCTTCAGAGGGCTCTCAAGGCGCGAGGTTTGAGCGTAACCACCGGTGAGGCCGCTAAGCTCACATGGCAGAAGGCCTAGAAGAGGGCGCCACATTTAGCGAACTGAAGAACTCCTTCCTGAGCTCGAACCCGTCCGAGACACTGCAGCCGCTAGAGGATGAAGTTCGGCTCCAGCAGCTCCGGACTGTAAAGACGAAGCTGTCAGCACCGCCGAGGGCTGCCTGGGCGAGGGCGAGGCCCAGTTCCTAAGGGCGTACCAGCGGTGCGTCAACTTGTGAGTCAGGTCGTGCGGAATCGTTGCGCGATCATCCCAGGATTGGCCGTGGGAACTGCGGGCTCGCGTCGAGACTGTCGAGATTTTCGAGGAAGAGGTGACCCTTCTAGTGGAAGACGTGGAGTCTCGGTCCTCGGCTTTTCGACGTCGCTTCGTCGCACCACTCCGGGCAGGAATCGGCGCTCATGGTCATCGTTCACGAGATGTGCCGCCAGCGGGAGCAGGAAGCGAAGGACCGCGCGGCTGAGCTGAAGAGTATGAAGCCAGTCCATCTTCACCTTCAATCTCCGACCGTCCTGTTTTGCCAGCAACGCCTACCCAACCTGCTCGGCGGTGTTCAGTCGTCACTGTTACCCCACTCCCCGCCAAGAGCGATGCAACCCCCGTGCGCATAGATTGATAGGGCTGGTGCCGCAGCTACGAGTAGCACCTCCCCTTGCGCGACTCCCAGTGATGGATCATACAGACCGTGCTCAGGGATTCATGCGCAGACCGCAAGATCTAAAAATATATATATATATACATATGTGTATATATCACATATATACATATATATATATATACATATATATATATACATATATATATACATATATATATATACATGTATGTATGTGTGTATATATATATATGAGCCCGATACCTTTAGGGTATATTTAACCACGGTTTTATATTTACAATACTAAGTGCCAGCTAAATAGTACATGGCTAAGTGGTATATTGCATAGACCAAAAGTCAACAAGTTTTGGACCAACCGTGATATATAGTTCAATATCGAATTTCCATGTCTTTCAGAAGCTTGGCCTGGTGAACGGTATCCATGCTTGAGGTGTCGAATATCTTACATGATAAGCATCGATCGAATCATAAGCGAGCGGGTAGGTACAGTATGTGTTCTAACAGATGGATAATGATCATGATGGACATACATTGCATTCTTGGATGCTGTCGATGATGTTGAGATCGTATGTGAAATACTACTTTCCTGAAGTGTTTATGGAGTGTTGGCTAGCGTTGCTTGCTGTATGTGTTGTTTGCAATGCTTGTATTTGAAGTTATATATATATATATGTGTTTCTGTGTCTGCCGATCTTTGTCATTCCTTTGAGTTGGCCTTTGTCGTTCGTGTGAATTCCTACCTTGCAACTCTAACATCATCTCCAAACCCTCAGCCCGTCTACAAGCACTGTGACCAGTAACAGCAGCCAGCTACCACAGCAGCAACAACATCAATAACCACAACCACGACCACAAGGGCATTAACATCAACAATATCATAAACAACAACAAAA